ACTCAGTAAAGCCTAGAGATCAGATCTGAGCTTGCCCCTCTATCGATTAGACTCTTATCGCTTTCTTGACATCACCAAGTCAGCATTACGAATACTTTAAATTATATATTAATACTAATACTAATTAGATTTATTTCTATTCTCTCTTTTATTACCGTTTTAGAATCCTGATACCAAGTAAAGTTGACATACATCCATCCAGCTTAGGCAGTGCCATAAACACCATCATCTCGACAACCCCACCTTCAAACTTCCCATCTTCAACCTCACATACAAAATGGCCTTCAAAGACAAATCCTCCTACATCGCCCTCGGCTGCGAAGGCTCCGCCAACAAACTCGGCATAGGCGTCATTCTTCACACTCCCACCGAGACAAAAATCCTCTCCAACCTCCGCGACACCTTCGTATCCCCTCCAGGAACTGGCTTCCTCCCTAAAGACACAGCAGCCCACCACCGCGCCCACTTCGTCCATCTCGCTCGCGAAGCCCTTGCCGAAGCGAAAATAACTCCTAAAGATGTTGATTGTATCTGCTACACGAAGGGTCCGGGTATGGGTGCTCCGCTGAACTCTGTTGCTGTTGCGGCGAGAGCGTTGAGTTTACTCTGGGATAGACCCCTTGTTGGCGTGAATCATTGTGTGGGGCATATTGAGATGGGGAGATATATCACTGGTGCTGATAATCCGGTTGTGTTATATGTTTCGGGTGGTAATTCGCAGGTTATTGCGTATGCGGAGCAGCGATACAGGATATTTGGCGAAACGCTTGATATAGCAGTTGGAAACTGTCTCGACCGATTCGCTCGCACGTTGGAAATCAGCAACGACCCTGCACCAGGGTACAATATCGAACAGCTCGCCAAGAAGGGTAGCAAGCTTCTCGATATTCCCTACGCCGTCAAGGGCATGGACTGTTCGTTCTCTGGAATTCTAGCCTCGGCGGATGCACTCGCTGCACAGATGAAGGCCGGCGCAGATTTCACACCAGAAGATTTATGTTTCTCACTACAGGAGACGGTGTTTGCGATGTTAGTTGAGATCACAGAACGGGCTATGGCGCACGTCGGATCATCGCAGGTTCTCATCGTGGGAGGTGTAGGATGTAACGAGAGGTTGCAGGAGATGATGGGGCATATGGCAAGGGAGCGAGGAGGATCAGTTTATGCGACTGATGAAAGATTCTGTATCGATAACGGAATCATGATTGCGCATGCTGGTTTGTTGGCGTATGAGACGGGGTTCAGGACGTCTTTGGAGGAGAGTACGTGTACGCAGAGATTCAGAACTGATGAGGTGTTTATCAAATGGAGAGACTGATCTCTTCAGAAAATAATAAAAAGAACAATATCCCAAGAAGATATCATGGTCAGATATGTTTATGTGTATTTGCTGAAGCTGATCCATGAGCTTTCTCGCATCAGCTTCATCATGGCGTCAAGAATCCTTGACATTCCTCGTTATTCTCAGCTCATGTCGCCGTCCGTCACTATGTAACTCGTCACCACTGCTCCTCCATCAAAACTAAGAATACTAGACAGCCAATCCTTGTTTATCTCCCAGACCTCTAATACATAGCAAGCATTCAACATCACATCGTAACCCGAGCCCGCATGTCTGAAAGCAGGCCCGAGGCATAAGGGGTTGTAGCTCATAACCCAATCATTATGTTCGTCCATCGTGTCTTATCAATCATCTGAAGATGTGGGCTTGTAGACGATTGTTGTGACATACTGCATCAAGTAAGCATCATCCTTTTGCGACTTCGCATAGCAAACATACCTTATTTCTGTATCGAGTTGTAGCTGAAACAGCAAGAATGTTGTTCTTGATGCTGCTGGTGGCAAGATGATTTAGAATCGTATGGTTTGGCATGTTGAGCACACTGTTGTCATCCTTCATAAGGGTCGCCGCATTCAAAATAGGCTTGCTGAGGAAACCTGGCAGCGTAGGAGGATTTGGTAGCCTTTCAATGGCATTGACCGCATACTGATACGCTTGCGAATCCTCGGCTTGATCAAAGTCCACGAGGTACTGTGGAATCTGGCTTCGGTACGATTCTGGAGGGGGCACGGGTTTGCCCTTTGGCTGGGGCGGTGGTTTCGAGGCTTTCTCCTGAGCTTGTGAGACTGTCTGAGCAGCGGCGGCAACTTGAGCCTCGGCGTGAGGACCGGCAGGAGATGCAGGAACTTGCTTCTTGTGAGCATCGTCGGGGCTCACTTCGATATAGTTGACAAGGTTGTTGCCAAAGTCGACGGTGGTGGGCAGATCAGGAGACGTCTGCATGATACCGTCCACCAGGAAGCGGACATGATGTGTACCTGGAAGAACATAGACTGTTGTCGAGAAACAACCAGGACGACCCTCGCTAGATAGGTGATATGTCAGCAATTATATCCCGAATCCATATTGGCCATATCCTTATCGCAGGCTAGACGAATCGTGTGCAACAGTCATCTGAGACCAGGAAGCAGCCACAGAAACACAGACGACGTAGTGATCGACCCATGTCTCAGAGAAGGAAGGATAAATAACATCATGGCACTTACATGGGATGCAATCGTTGCTTGCGATTCCATTGAAAGATGGTACCTGTCACATAAACCTTGTCACCTCCGCTCAGCCACTCCAGCTTGGTCTGAACGACAGGTCTCGTCTTATCAACCCGCAGCTCTTCACCATCCTCTTCATCAACTGTGGTAGCACTGAGGGCAGAACTCTTGCGAGTGATGGTATCCGAGTCAATAGGCTCAAGATCAGGTATCGACAGATCCGACTCTGGTGCCAGAATAGGTGATCCAGGGGTGTGGACCTCCTCATCGATAGGGAGGGGTAAGCGCGGGGGTCTAGTCAGATACATATCTGTGATGCTGCCATTGGGAATGAGAGCTGTGTCATTTACGTGAGCGGATTGGTGTGATCGAAGAGAAGAAGACTCCATAGGAACATCGACAGGCTTGGTAGGTTCGTCGCGGTACTGAGGTTTAGACTCGGCTGGTTTGCTCTCAGCAGGCTTAGGCTCAGGAGTCCCAGCTGCATGTTTCTCAGCGATACCCTTAGTATCCGAGGAGGAAGCAGTCTTGTGAACGGCGGCGAAGTTGCTATGGGGAGAGCCGCTCAGAGACGAGACAGCAGTGGGAGGCAAGCTCTTTGGTCGATTGATGACGGTTGAGCCTTGGGCTTGTGCCATAGAAGGCTCTGGAGGCGCGGCAGAGCGATGCGCGTGACCGGTGATGATATTGCGGGCATCTTTTCGGAGATGATGTCGGGGAGATTCATGGCCATGATGATGACCGTGTGCCGAACCAGGAGCCGAAGTCGTCGGCGTGGTCGGTTTTGAGGACGAAGACGGGTTGTTACCCATGTTTACTACCTCCTACTCCTTTCAAGGGATGTGCTCTGCGTCTTGAGGGCGTGATCTTGGTGATGATGGCGTTGGGGTAAGGTCGGATTATCGGTATCTTATCGGGAATATGACAAACGGCATGTCAAACTCAATGATGCAGATCTCGTCGATTACGTCGATTGTTGAAAATAGTATACGTGCGCTCTCAGCGCCAATTGAACGTCGAGGTCAGAAGAGGAGGACGAGCAAGAAACGGCCTGACGCGGCACGGCAGGGTTGGTGCGAATTCCGGGGTCCTCGTGTAGCGTGATGATGATTCAGATGCAAGATTTTGGTGTCGGTGATGAAATCGGCGCTTTCGTTATGTAGATTTGTGTCCAAAATATCGTCGATGTAAATTCCTCGTTTAGTGGAAAGGATTGTGGCTTTGGTCGTGTCGTTTAGTCTGTTCGTCGTTGGTCGCGGGGGTGGAGATGCACCTGAGAGATTGATTGATTGATGATGGGAATGGATGAAGGGAACCTAAGAGAACGGGTGGGATGTTGAATCGTGGTGGGGAGTCTGATAGGTGACAGTCTTTAGATACTTCTAACCAAGCCTTGTCAAGGCCCACTGTGTAAGTCACTAACTTGCGATAACTAACACCAAAAGACAAGCTTCATATGAGGTATCCACTAAGAGCTGTCCAAGCCAACCACCGAATGGATTGCATCTCGATAAGACTTGAGCTTCCTATTACAACAGCTCAAGGGAGCTCTAACTTATAACATGACCTTGGCTTACTACAACGCATTCATTGATTAACACATATAACTTCCCAACATTATCATATAAACAAGTTCTTATATTGAGCTGCCTTATTTACCCCCTATCACCCTTCCATATCCTTAGTGATGTAATCCTCCCTCCCTGGACAACCTCACACAACTCACCATCGACACCACAACCTCTTCTAAGCAAAATGTCCGAATCATCACTCCCAACTTCCACAGTCGTGGCAGCAACATCAGAGCAAGCCTCGCCTACAGTTTCCCCATTCATAGTCGCATTCGACATCGTTGTCGCTGTCTTTCGCTTCCTCTTCTCTTTCAACTGGTCATGGTTCTTCTCCCGGCTTTTCACAATAATCAGCTTTCCTTTCCGCCTAATTCTCATACCGTTGTCGTTTGTCCTCAACATTCTTCTCGTTGTGTTTGCACCGGCTATTTATCTCTTTTCTTACACACTTGCTGGCGTGCGTTCTGTATGGGCGTTTCTGGCTAGCTTAGAGGTATGTTGTCATAAGAAGTTCAGTTGAGAGTATGCTAACATTCTATAGCCACTGTATACTTTTGTAAGGCCAAAACTCATGTGAATCTATCTCGCTCTAACAGTCTTCAGTTTGGTGCTGCAGCTGGCGTCGGCATCTTGGCTGGCATCGGCCTGGCCACATTCTCATCCATCATCACATCCTACCTAGGAATGCAGAGTGACCATATCGACTCAGGGGGGTCAACTTCTAAGGACAGTTTGCTCGAAACCAGCAGTCGACGAGATTCACAATCTTCAGGTACTGAGCTCGACTGGCAATGGCTTGACTCGTCCAGTCAGAGACGCCGACCAGCTGGTGGCTTACTATCACAGACGATTCACGAGGAGGATGATGATTCAGAGTATTGATCGTGTATAAGCGCTATAGTACATCGAAACTCAGCTGCAAACTTCTACGCTATGGATAATCCCATATTATATGTTCTTAGACGGGAGGATCAACCTGCTAAAATCCTCTGATACCATGCGCCGCTCATGTAGTAATGCTAGACATTCGGCCTTTCCAAGGATATTCTTCTTCCTGCTTACTTGTTTATTTGGTCGTATCAATCCGTTGCGCCATGTCCTGCTATGCCCGAATCGACATGTGATTAATCTCGGTTGTTCGTCTTCAAACGCCTGTACTGTCCATGTCCTAATCTCATCCCTCCTGGAGGTGGTCCTGGGTCTTGCACTCGTTTGTGGCCTGTGTACTCGCGAGGCGGTATCGCTGACGTTTGATCCTATCTCCGGTACACATCGCGGTCTGGCCTATCACGGTCTGGCCTGTCTCGGTCTCTTGATCGATCGTGCCTGGGCGACCTACTGCGGCTGATGGTGCCACGTTCTCTATCGTAGCGTCGATCTTCTCTGCTGTTGCGGCGCCGACGATCATCTCTGGGTGGTGGAGGAGGGCGATCGTCCCTCCGTCGACCTGGATCATCCCGATTATAGGCGGGAATGTACGTGTCGACATCTGGGGGGACCCTTGGCCCAGGCGCTCCTCTACCGCGAGGGGGTCCTCGCTCACGATAGTCCGTGTCGTCGTTGGGAGGTGGCCGTGGCGGTAACCCAGCACCTCGATCTCGTTGCCAAGCGGGACGCCTTTCATCTGGTCCATTACGGTATCTGCCCCCGTTCACACCATTACGGCCATTTCCATAAGGCTCGTTGCTGTTAAAGCCCGCTGTGGCTCCCTTCGCATCTGGGCCGATACCTACAGTCCCACCCTTGGGGGCAGGGGGCAATGCAGCCTTGCGATCGTGGAACTTTCTTCGATCCAGCTCGTGGCTTTCCTCATAAACGGGGATCTCGTGGGGCTCTAGCGGTAGAGGCGCCATCTTGAACCATGGGTGTTGCAAGGCATCCACTGCGTTGATTCGTGTCCGCCAGTCCAGCTTAAGAAGCTCTTTTAGTAGTGAGACTGCTCCTGAGCCGTACCTAAAGACGACATTAGTGACTGGACCTTGAGGATTGTCCCATGCAAACTTACTCTCTGAATCTGTTCTGGAGATTGCCTGTTCGTGGCCGTGGGGACAGATGATCGGCACCAGGCAACTGCTTCCACCCAGGCATGTTGTCCTCATTGGGGGATCCCATCAAGTCCCAGATCATGTCCAGCTGATGCGCATCACTTTCGCCGGCCAAAATGGGCTTTCCGAAGAGCATCTCGCCAAACACACAGCTACATCGATTGTTAGAACCGAGAAATTTCGGGAATTTCAGATCCACGCTTACCCTACTCCCCAGACGTCAATAGCGGGGGTGTATTGTCGTAGTTGTAGCAAAAGCTCAGGTGGTCGGTACCATCTAGTGACCACCAGACCAGTATAGTCTCGCTTTCCTGGACCATAGGCTTGTCCAGCCTGTGGAACATCTCCGTCGTAGTGTCGGGCGAGACCGAAATCGGCAATTTGTAGGATACCTTGGTTGTTGATGAGCAGGTTGGCAGCTTTCATATCTCGGTGCAGAATGTGGCTGTCGTGGAGATATCGCAGGCCCTCGAGCAGTTGCAGCATGTAGCACTTGATTTGAGGCTCCTTGAAATGAACCGACGGATTATCGAGGAGACCGGAAAGATCGTGATCCATGTAGGGAGTGGCCATGTATACGATGGGCTTTTTACGCTTATCGGCTGAACAGGCTGGTTAGTTTGATCAACCAAGGGGCTGCCGTGTCTACTCACTCTGTCTGGTTGGATGCTCGATGGCCATATCCTCGAGTCTCAGGATGTTCTTGTGTGATAAGAGCTTGAGAAGCTTGATCTCGCGAAGGGCGGTGATGGGAAACTTGTGATCATCAGTGCAGTTCTCGGGTGGGGTGGTTCTTCGACATACGCCATCCTTTTCATGATGCATGATAATCTTTTTCAAGGCGACGAGTGTGCCGGTCTTGCGCAAGCGGGCACGGTGAACCTCACTGAATGTTTGTTAGTATATGCGATCGTGGTTCGGTTGCGATGATCGACGATATATGCGCCGACCAAGGGGTCATACCCAAAGGTTCCCTCTCCCAGCTTGCCCAGCAATTCATAGTCGGAAATGCGGGAGCATCCCTTGAAACTTGATCGGGGTCTCAGGTGGTTGAGCGCAAAGGTCCGAGGCGAAGTGCCATCAGGCGTCGAGTCTGACATTTTATCCATGTCGTTGTTTGCTCGAAGAGTTGACGATGCGCGCGTCGAGAAGAGTGAGTGAGGCTGGGAGGCTTCTCACAAGATTCGCATCGCCTCTTAATCGTGAATCATCGGGAAAAGTGTGAAAATGATTGGTAGTGTTGGGTTGATACTTAAGGAGGAGTCGAAGAGTCGGCGCTGGTATTTTAAAAAGGAGAGTGAGCGGGATTTCTATTAGAGATGTTTTGTTGGTTGATTGTCCTTGATTGTCAATGCACTTTCAACAAGGCCAAGACGAGAGTTTAGAGAGACGCACGAAGGCGGTGAGGCCTAGAGCGTGGCAGAATGTCCAGAAAAGGTTTAGTTGGGAGAAGGGGTGATGGGTGCTTAAAGGGTACGTACCTGCAGACCCTTGCGTTTGCGTTTGCTGGATCCATTTTATCATCCGGGTTCATGATCGTCATTGTTGAGATTCTCTCACTTTTTTAGCGATTGTCTTGCAGGAAGAAAATGATTGTGATCTTGGTGCGTACGTCATACTTGTATCTGTGCATGAATTGACAAGAAATTCCATTGATTACATAACCAACGTAAAGCCATGGCTGTATTTGACTCTTCAAAACCGTGTATTTGATATTGAGACTGAAATCAAGCTAAAGCATCCTCTACTGGCATCTGGGCATGTGAAAGCTTGCTATGTTAACACAAGACGCATGGATATAACGGAAAGTTTCGTTTAAGTATATCGATTGGCAGCCCTGGTCGTATGAAAATCCCCAGAATGCCATTCATCTATTAAAGTTAACTATCCTTGATTGAATTTATCGTGAACCTAACATACTAAATCCCTACTATTGTAGGGCCCCGTAATCGGAGGTCGCTCTAGTCTATTCGCTGGTGTTGTGAAGCATAATCAACCATCAAAATAGAAGGGAATCCACATTGTTCTAGCCTTTGCCAATGGAAGATGTGTCGAAAAAACGCAGCCCACGCACGTCCATTAAGTAATGGCCAGTGCCAGTAATTATTATTCATTCTCCCCACGTCTTGGATATCTTGATCTCTGGGGTAAAAGATGGAATATCTAAGGTCATGAACAAGATCACTTAATGTATTTAGCATTTTTTTTTTTCTAGATATAAGTTCAACAAACATCAACTGCTCTGTTGGTATCTCTGTTCACCGTAGAAAATATCCTTTTGATCACATGCCACTCCTTACTGATCATCAACACCAGACCAAAGATACAACATCCCATTCCCTCATTAACCAATTCAGTATTTAAAATGCTTAGGACAATCAAGCAGTGCAACTCCAGGCCTTGATTTCACACCAATATTTTGCCTCTTTCATACTTAGTCTCCGTGGGCTATCGCATACACCAAACATCATCGCCTCTTACTCGCCAGTCCCCGCGAGATATCGAGTTTCTGTTACCCCTTCATAACCTCGAGAGGATCCACTTGATGGCTTCTTTGTCCACAAGGTTTAGTTTACCTACTTATTAACGTTGCGCGTGCCGTAGATAAATTTTCACTTCTCCTCATCTTGATCGTGACTTATTCTTCTTCATCTCTTTTTTAGACAATCGTTTTGCTGAAAGTCGAATCGTTGCTGCGTTGACTGAGTCGCTATCTTATCCTCACATCAGCTCTTATCTATCACTGATATCAATTGATAGACTATCAGGTTAACCACCTCCCATACAACTTTAACATTTTCAAAATGAGTGAGACAGGCTCTCACGGCTCGCCTGCCTTGAAGGCTCCCGAGACTAGTTACCCCGAGTCTCGAGTCCTTATCATTGGCACAGGTGGAACAATTTGTATGCAGCAAGGCCCTGATGGTCTTCAACCAACAGACAATTTCTTGGAGAATGCTATGGCTCCTCGTCCATCATTCAATGACTTCTCAAACCCAGGTATGGAAGAGAAGTACTGCCCTGAATGGATGACACTAATGGGTATCCAGATACGCTCCCCGCAGTTCGTGATGGAGAAAAGATCCAGATTGATAGTCTTCGCACTCCTGCCACAGCATACAATCGCCATGTCCGCTATGGTATCATCGAGTTCAGTCCTCTACTAGACTCTAGTTCTATCTCCGCCCACGACTGGGATGCTATGGCCTCATGCGTTCAAGAGAACTATCATCTTTTCGACGGTTTCGTCATTCTTCACGGAACAGACTCTCTCGCTTACACGGCCTCTGCGCTCTCCTTCATGATGGAGAACCTAGGCAAGCCCGTCATTCTCACTGGCTCTCAAGCGCCCATCTTTGCACTTCAATCCGACGGTGTCGATAACCTCTTGGGCTCCCTCATCATTGCCGGAACATTCACCATTCCTGAAGTCTGCCTGTTCTTCCACCACCGTCTGTACCGTGGAAACCGCAGCGCAAAGGTCTCAGCAACAGAGTTCGAGGCTTTTGCCAGTCCCAACTGCGAGCCCATCGCCAAGGTCAATGGCCTCGGCATCAGCGTTAATTGGCCTCTTGTTCTACGACCAACCTCGATTGCCAAGTTTCACGTCACAAAGGGTCTTGACACTACTCACGTTGCCTGTTTGCGCGTGTTTCCTGGTATTAAGCCCGAGATGATTGATGCTGTTCTTCATTTGCCCGATATTCGTGGTCTTATTCTTGAGACATTTGGCATGGGTAACATCCCTGGCGGTGCTGATGGTCGTCTTACGCAGATCATCAAGGCAGCTGTTGAGCGTGGCATTGTCGTTGTGAATGTTAGTCAGTGTGTCAATGGCTTTGTCTCTCCCGTTTATGCTCCCGGTACTGTTCTCGGCCGAGCCGGTGTCATCTTTGGCCTTGATCTAACTGCTGAGGCGGCGCTCACCAAAGTCTCCTATCTACTCGCTCAACCAAACCTCCCGGTCAAAGAAATTCAGGAGAAGCTCTCCCGGTCGCTCCGCGGCGAGATGACAGAGATCGCCCACCAAAGCTTCTCTCACCCCTCAGGCTCACTCGACTTTGCCGCATCCCATCTTACGCCAAGCGAGACTGCATTCTCGGCACTCGGATACGCAATTGAGAATGGCGAATTGGGACTCGTCAAGGAATTGCTGCAGGGTGAAGGTGCTCAACTTCTCAAGCAGTCAGACTACGCAGGCAACACAGCGGTGCATCTCGCAGCGGTCGCCGGCAGCACCGAGATCCTCCTGGAGCTGCTACAGCGGGGCGCCAGCGTCCACGAACGCAACAAGGCCAACCACTCGCCTCTGTTTGTCGCTGTCAAGTCAGGCCAGGAGCCTTGTGCACAGTTGCTGCGCATCGCTGGTGCTCATTTGGCGGTGGAGGAGAGGGATTCTATGCCTGGTTACGTGACACCCAAGTACAACAGTCACATCGGAGGACATGGTTTCTGATCGAAGAAAGATCATACCATGCCGTTTTATTTTTGAATTTACGTTTTGTTGTTATGGGGTTAGGTGAACTTTTGAAGCGAACCAGGATACGGAAAATAGGCGATGGATATAAGCGAAGTTTTGTTGTTCTTTTACGTATGGTTATGATCAAGGCGCTTCGGGATACAGAAAATGAGATGGCTTGGACCAGAATAAGATGAGATCTTGAATTACGAGAACAATTTCTGATTCAATTGAAGTTCAATTGGTGTGGCAATGGCTGTTCTTGAAGAGACAGTAAGTAGTTTGTGGAGGTGGCTTGCTTTGACGTAGGGATCTAATTCTCCGATGCAACAACAAATACTGCCGAAGACTATATAAAAAGACCAAAAAACATACTATTTACTATACGTCCATACGATAATAGTCTCGAGTTCCAAAGGATCAATGCAACAGTATAGTCATCTGAATGTTTCGCCTTGGACCCATGAACTGACGTTTGAATTCCTATGACTAACAGGTACGACACGCTATAGGTTGAGCAACCCAGTCGTTCACCAAGAGGTTATGCTCAGCAAATACAACCCAATTGAGCATCATACGGTTGCGGACTAGGCATTAGACGAGTTTAAACGTCTCCGCGGGAACCCTATAAAGAGAGTGCGTCCACTCCGTGGCAATGGCATGAGTTGACCTTGGTAGGAAAAAAACATGACGACGAGTCGTGGGTCGAAAATTGGCATTGGCCGAGGTGCCGATTCCGCGACGTCACGTTGTGTTCTCACTTTGATTAATTACTAGTACTTTCACTCTGTTTAAATAAACTTGGCTTTTCTTCTATTCAATGACTTATACTGGTTACCAAGACAGTTTGATTTGTTTACTCAATTGACCTCACTATGAGTTCTACACCAACGCCCTCAGATCATCTACCGGACCTAGACTCTAGCGAGGTCACATACCCAGGTTCCGAAATAGCAGCACCCGCGGCACCAACAAATCCAGAAGAACTCAAGCACGATAAATATCGAAAGAATCGAAGAGGATGGCGCCGAATTGTTGTCAATTTCACTCCGTCATGGTTCACGGTGACGATGGGCACTGGAATCACGTCTGTTCTACTTCATAACCTACCCTACCACGGCCGATGGCTATTCTACGTCTCCTGTATAATATTTTGTCTAAACATTGTTTTATTTACTCTGTTTAGTTGTATATCTATCGTAAGATATACGTATTTCAAAGGGATATGGTATTCGACGTTACGACATCCGGCACAGGCTGTTTTTCTAGGTATGTATTTCGTCATGATGTGATCGATTGTCCGCAATTGAAGCTAACAATTGACCAAAGGGACTATACCAGTTGGCTTCGCTACAATTATCAACATGATAGTATTTGTATGTGTTCCAGCCTGGGGTAACTGGGCTGCCAATTTTGCATGGGCTCTTTGGTGGATAGATGTTGTTATGGCTACAGCTTGTAGTCTTTACATACCGCATTGTATTATGCGAACAGAGGGTGTGAGTCAATCGCTAATTACGGTACTAATATATCAATGCTTACACTTTAAAGATCACACTTGACCAAGTAAACCCCTCATGGCTCTTCCCCGTCATTGCCGATATCGTCGCCTCCACCTCTGGAGCCATCGTAGCCAATGTTCTACCCAACGACCAACACGCCATATGGACCATCATTACCAGCTATATTCTATGGGGAACCAGCGTACCGATGGCTATCGTCATTCTAGCCATGTATTACAACCGTCTTATGATTCACGATATTCTTCCCAGCCAAGTTGCTGTAGCATCTTTCATCGCTATCGGCCCTCTTGGTATGGGCGCAGCAGCAATACAACTCCTCGGCCAGGTCTCTCTCAAACTCTTTGCCAGAAACGAATTCATCCCCCAGGCTCCTATCGCGGGCCAATTCTTTTATCTGACCGGCATTCTCACTGCTCTCG